ATTTAACTTTATTAATTAACATTTTTTCACAATGCAAGGTGCAGTTTCTAAATAATTATTAATATTTATTTTAGACATTATTCAATTTTTAGTATTGTATCAGTTTGAAATATTTTATATTTATGCTGTTTATTTTATATTTCATAATTAAATACTTGTATTGAATATTTGTTCTATTTTATATTTTTTATTCTCTACTTAGATACATGATATAAATAATTCACTGATGATATATTCGAAAGATTATAAAAATTAGTTGGTACTACTTCAACCGAGTGTTACCTAATTGTATTATATTATTCGTTTACATTGTACCAATTTCTATACTTATAAAACCAATGGCTATAAACTTTAGAGTATTAATTAGTCACTATATATATAATTATATTGTATACGGGTAGTGAGATAAAAAAAACCTTTCGAGTGAAAAAAGCGTTCGATTATTTTATCGTTCAAGTGAAAAAAAAACCATACGATTATTTTATCTTTCGATTGAAAAATTAATTCGATTATTAAAATCATTTGATTATTCCCATCACTAGTTTTAACATCTATTGCACATGCAAATCATATTATGGCAATATTTCAAATTGTGATAAGATCATGTCGAAATCAACTAATTACATGCGGTCGATGTAATCGATAAATTATTGATTCGTAAACCTGTTGCAGTGCATGCAGCCGTATTATAAAAAAAAAAAAACAAGTACAAAAAGTGTTGGTCCCGATTTCCATAGAGTAGTAGTAGTAGTAGCGTTTGGACACTGCACAAACGTATCATGTTCCGCCCGTTTAAAATTACACACGTTTTCGTTCTTATCAAACCTTTCAATACGAAAACCTATTGAATTGCGTTCGAATATATTGTATTATATCAAGTACAATTTTTTTTCGTTGTACTCGGCGACGCGTTTTAAACTAGTGACCGTAGTAAACACTCTCTCCCTCGTCTCGATATCGCATAATGCATTAATTGTTTTAGCATGTGTTCCTTTCCCCCCACTTCCTTGTTTCTAATGGCCAACTAACCTGGCTGCAATGTATTACAGCACATAAAGGCCATAGGTCTATCGAAATTCTAAGAAAAAGAAAAATTAAGATAAATTTATAACGTTTCAGTTGATAACATGTTTAATGTTAATTATAAATCAACCAACTGCAACGATCTGACGGCGAGCGAAGACAAACTTAGCAAAGAATTTTTATGAACAGATTTTTATCGATTGAAAAATATTCATCGTTAAATATTTCGTGCGAGTGCATTTATTCATACTCTTATCAACAATTTTTTATTAAACGCGTTACTGAACCAAAGTTATTTCAAAGTTTCGTCCGATTGGTGATTATTATTCGCAAGGCACAGTTATTACAGTTAGTAGTACTGTTGTGCCGCAGAGCTTCTCGCGTGTGTATTATAGATGTCTTTCGTTCGCGATTATTGGATGCAATAATGTTACTTCTACTGTAGTATAGTGAATATTCCTGTGTATATATATTCCTGTACAGCATCTTGCGCGTTCTTTTTCCTCTGGGAAACGTTTCACCGCCCATTTTCATCTGCTTTTATGTTTGAAAGGTTTTTTTTTTCTATTCGTTTGACATAGATTATTATTACAAATCCGAATCGGACGGTTTTTTTTTATAAATTGTTTTGGCCGCTGTCGATTTATTTCATAATGCTACGTGTTCGTTGGCGCGCCACATGCTGAACCAATGTCGTTCTCGATTTATTTTAAATAATTTTCAGAAGGATTATATTCAGATAAGAGTATACCAATAACATCATTATAATTAAAGCACTTGTAACCGTTAACCTGTAGAAGATGGATGTGATGATAATGACGTGTGTGCGCGCGAGTGTTCCGTTTTGTTTACGATTATTGCAGCTATAAAATTTTTACAAGAGATAATAATATATGTCTTGACTCCGTGTGGCCGTGGCGTTACTGAAAATTAAAATTATAACCGCGCATTTATTTTTAAAGCTGTATCCTCCACGTTTTAGCCTTTCCTTAAATAGGCGTGCCTGAATTACATTTGTTCTTAGACGTTTCTCACTGTAAGCAAAATATGTTTTATTTACAATCATAATCGAACAAAAATCGATCAACAAATGCGATATCGTTTTGACGAACGAATTGTTAACAGTAGATAACTACTATACTAAGTTACATGGCAGTACACACGGAATTATCATAAAATAATCAAAATCTTATAGGTATACGATATTGTTTTTAATATGATAACAAATCGTACCCAGAAATTGAATCCAACATTTTTTAGTTGCGTTATCTGATCTGTTAAACATCTAATTATTTACTTCACACTACATATTCTTTCCTTTAACGATATATTATTATTATGTTTGAGAAATGATTAACCTATTTTCTTACGTAATATAATCATGTGCTAAATATATGTTTGTTTTACAACATCGTTGGTTATATATTGTTATATTTTGTTTTGTTTGTATTAATCAAAACAATATTATTATTGTCGTATTTTAATAAAAATATATGTTGTTCATTGTCCAATATGGTCTGTGTCTGTAGATTTGTCTGTATATTTTTACACGTAAACGTCTTATAAATCAATTATAACAAGAATCGTATTCTATTAAAATAACCGGTCAAAATCAAGTTATTTTAATTACAAAAAAAAAAAAACAGAAACGTAGATCGCTCCAAGTTTTGAATAAGAACGTAATATATTTTAATTTAAATGCAGCATTGTAATTATCAAAATATTAATAATGGTCCAATACGTCCAATACTTAAACGTTGTAAACAAAAACGTCGTTGTATAATGTAGTTTATTATAATATGGACTTTTTCTTATGAAATAGTGAATATAAAACTATCGCCTTATGTAACTTAATACGATTTGTCATTTAATTTTTAGTTCTTAAAATAACCCGTTTATTCTTGTAGTCTTTGTGTATCAAACTATCATAAAATTCAAAAGGCACATGTTTCTGTTATCTATGAACATATTTTACACACTAATGTGGTCGAAATAAGTAAGGTCTGACAACTATATTAACATTATAATACAGTAAATGGAATTAATATGTTCGAAAAAGCCTCAGTCTGGAACGAATAAAAATCGTTTTCTGTTATCAATCATATTTTACATAAGGTATTTCATTGGTCTTCGAGCCTTGATTAATTCGATAAAACGCAATGAACAAGTATATATATTTATTGTAGTATTATTTATAATATTTTTTCGAATAAGCTGATTCGATTATATTATGATTATTTAATTACTCAATATTGTTATTATTATTTTTGCTTCGATGAATTAGAAATTATTTTAAAACAACGATCTGTTAAAAAGATTTGAATATTATTTTCTCGTTCAGATAATTTGTCACATTGCCGTACGTAAGAGAATAAAAAAATATTTAAAAAAAAATAATAATAATAGTAATAAATGTAGGCTCAGAGTTTGGTTATAAAGTTGATCTTTCACTTAACCCTCGTTACTGGACCGCTGTCATTGGCCGGGCTTATTACACTTATTGCGCATTACACTTGTGTGTTTCGGTTCACTCCGTAGTGGTGTTGTCTACTTCCATCTTCGTCGTACATTTAATAAAGCTTAATCAAATTAAAAAAAAACACCATATATACATAAATTTATGGTAGATATTATAAATGTATTTACAGAAGGTCATTCCGTCAAACATTGTAATTGAATTTATTATGACATTTATTTACGAAGTAAGCTTTTTATTTTTGTACAGACCAAAAATAAGTACATTACCTATCATGTAAACACAAGCAAACGTATTCTCTTCGTTGTATTCGATAAAACATGTTTCTGATTTTCAGCCTTGAATTGTGATATGAATTTATTTATTATATATACATATTTAAGCCCCCTCGCCCATACACTACGTCTGTGCACGCGCAATGTAAATACCCCGCGTGTAAGTTTGTACGGAAAAAGTTCAAAAAACTTTACACGCAAACTTTTTAACCCCGTACCCCGTTCGGATACATTTATAGTGTATCGTTGGCATCACGCATAATGATGAATATACGACAACACTGCGTAGACATATTTTAATATTAAATAACATTCGTTTGTTCTGAAATCATTGTCGAACCGAGTGGTACCTATGTATTCGTTTTTTATTCTTATTTTTCGGACGTGCGCATGTTAAGGTTTTCGTACATTTCCTCGTTTGTACGAGCTTCGAATACGTACAACACGCGAATGACGATTACAATCGATTTCAACAATACTAGATCATCACAATACGGAACGTGTATCACGTTCCGTATTATCAGCGCTGGACTTAAGTCCAACCGGAGGCCACAGTGCAAACTACTATGTTCGGATGAATTGATTGACAAAATCTATTAAGTATCTATTTATTCGTGTATAAGAGTGTTTACATTTAGCCTGAAATTCCAAAGAGCAAAAATAAACCAATGCGGATCATTAATGTTATTTCTAAGATTATATGTTTCTAATTTTTCTTCAACCATTATTCAATATCGGATAGCATTAAATTTGGCGCCACGGCGCAAAGTAATCGGGAAATAAAACTTCCGATTTTTTTTAACAGACGTGCAGTAGCACAGTCGCGATGACATTGTATCGCGCTTTATTATGTTGTACGATATTATATAATTTGCGCAGGTTTTGAACCTGTACACCTGCACGATATTATTCTTGTTATTAATTTCACCGCTACGGACTGTAAGGTTTTGTGTTTGGTCGATTACAACGGTTACTTTATTATTATTATTACTGTTATTATTGAGTTAAATAACTATTATTAGGACGTGTGTAACATGTATTTAATGGCTCGCGTATCCGTACCCGGGACAGCTATTATTGATATTCGCGCGCGTGAAACTGTTTAAATCTTACCTGGACCGTAGTCGTAGTGTTCGTCGTAAATACATCGTAATAACGTCATATAGCGTTACTTGTTTTATGTTTCCTCCGTGTACTAACGCATTGGGTTTATTCGAACGTTTCAGAATTCGATACGTCACAATCTGTCGCTGCACAGCCGGTTCGAGAAGATCCAGAACGAAGGCACCGGCAAATCGTCGTGGTGGCAAATCAACCACAACGCTAGCCGGACGACCGGAAAGTCCAGGCGCCGGGCCACGTCCATGGAGACGCCCAAGTTCGAGAAGAAACGTGGCCGCGTCAAGAAGGTCGTCGAGGCCATCAGAAACGGTCTGCACCAAGAGAACACGCCTAGTCCTAGTTCATCTGTATCCGAAAATTCCGATATGATACCCGTTTCGCCGCTCAGGGGTTTCCAGTTCAGGTCAGTAGTAAATGAGTATACGCGTAAGTCACGTGTGCGTACATATATATAAATACGTCTCCAGTGGTGTGAGGGTTGGTAAAATCATACGTGATACGAAAACTGGAGATTGTAAACTCTTCGCGTACTTCAATGACTTGTAAACTCTCCTGAGTCTGTAATAACTTCGTTATTGCATTATAATTTTCGAGATACTAATAAAAGGATATCGCAAAAAAAAAATAATAGATTATTTATACAGTAAAATGGACGCTGTAAGTTTTTTTTTAAACATTTTTATGTTAATATTGTTTTAAAATTAAAATTTGAATGTATTTTCAAATCAACCAATACTTGTTGGCATCTCAACTGTCGCTGTAGCTAGTTTTTACTGATTTAAACAAAGTATTGATAAGCTTGGAAGAATTTACATGTAGGTACTACCTCTTGGGTAGTTCTGAAGTAGTCCGAGCACGTCAGTCAGTCCACGTGGGGGAAGGGGTGGATTTGTTGACTAGTTTTACCTGTGCGTGATAGTAGCTGTATTAAATGTCGTATCCTTGTATACTTACAGTCCGGACTTTAGAGCCCGGGCGTCGTCGAACGCCTCATCCACCGGCCGTTTGTCGCCGATATTCAGCGAGCAGATCAGCACGACCGACTACGGGCTGGACTCGGTGGCTGAACAGGGCCAAGCCGACTTGCTGGCCGGATCTCTAGCGCAAACCGTACGGCTCTCTCAACCGCTACAGCCGCAGCAGCAGCAGCAGACACAGCCGCTCGAGAGCTACGGAGATGTGTTCTTGAACAACCGCCCGCCCCCGCCACCCTATTGCAGCCTGACGATTCAGTCGTGCCCCGTTCATGGTTACCACGGGTGTTCGTGCATCAGCCTCAGCCAACTTGACAATACTTCTTATATCAAACAGGTGTGTTTATGTGTCGACCGTTGACGGCTGATTGGGGTTCCACTGAAAATCACATTTATTCTAACGTTTCACTTTGTTTTCGGAATAATTTCGAAACATGGAATCGAAAACTTGAAAAAATCGTTCTTAAGTATTCAAGCTTAACGAAAAGTGCAAAATATGTATTAATTTGTTTTTTTCGTTACCCCTGTCGTACCATTGGATCGATTATGATCTGTTCACGTTAGAATACTACATCTGAATTACTCGTATATATCGTGTGTACCATATTATATTCTCAAAGACGGTAACGATCCGTTTCCAGTGATTTGTGTCGCACGTAGAACCGTCATGCTGAAAAAAACCCTCGAAATCACCGAGTAAATCGCGTACTTCTATGACACTCAAATTACCGTTTTCCCTTTGCCACACTATTCAATATACCGAAGCGATAATTTACTATTAAATCATAATCATTGATACGATTTGAAATACTTATATAGTACCGTAAGTTCGTGTAATCGTTGCTTACCATGTATAATAAACTAATTTTATACTTGTACAATTAAATATTTAAAACTTCTTTTTTTAAATTTTTTTTGTTAATTTGTTTAAGACAACAGTATATAATTACGACAAAACTTACAACACTATTACTCTTACTATTGTATGAGGTCACATTCCCCTCACCACTAAAATATTGACGTATAATGATTTTACTATCTAATTATTAAATAATCAAAATGTCATTAAATTTTAATGAATTTATTTTTAGAGGAAAACAATATAAATAAAATTTCAAATTTTTAAAATAAATGTATTATAATATTATATTAACTTTTCCAAATATTCAATTTTAAACTTATTACTATAGAATTTAAATTAACGCAAGAGTTAGCACTGTTTAGGTTTAATTAGATTTATATATTTGGCGACAACAGTGATAGTGCGCATGAAAGAATGATTGTGTGTAAATGGAAGATAACGTAATTACTCAATAAAACTCGATAAAGTAAAAATAATCGAAAATAACATTTTAAGATTTTATGGTTTTTAAAAATGTTCAGGCTTCCCTTAAAATATTGTCACGCTTGCCTAGGGAGCGGATCCTCTGAGATTGAGAACCTAACGTATTCCTAAAGTATTTCCTAAAGTAATCTATATTGTTTAAATAGATTGTTGATTATATTATTAGGTGAAAAAAGTATACATTTGAACAAACGATTTATATCGAATTTATATCGAATTATATCTAATTGCATCTTGAAACGATGAAAGATGTCCTAAAAATATATTTATACCCATTGTAATCTATTGAAATAAAAAATTTTGGTTTTCTTTCTTATATAACTCACATACTTCAAATATCCATAATATGTTTTTACATTTTCATACATAATTTGGATGAATATGAGGTTTTAATAATTTCATGATTAAAACTAAATGAAATTATTGAAAATAAAAAGTTGAAACGTATATAAATAATAAATATATACTATATATTCTATGAAATATTCAAAAATAATAAAATAAAAGTTAATATCATATGAAAAATGTTTATAATTAATAAATACCAATGTTGTGTGTATTAAATATAACTTAAACTTTCACTCTATGCGATAGTAACTCATTCGTTCGATTATAGAAAATATTAATGAATGACATAAATATGATAATGCATACTATGCGTTCACCGGTAACACATGTACAGGGTTGTACTCACAGATTCAGTAAAATGTCATAAAGACACCTCACTTGTACTTCCAGTCTTATATATTTCCCTAATATGCACACTCTACTACCGATTCGAAATTTGCTGATCTTAACGTATTCTTAATTTTTTATTCATCTTCACAGGAATGTATATCGTTCGAAAACATGTTGGACGACCAACAAGACGACAACATGTCAGCCACTGTGGTCGGTCAAATAATGGGTTCATCACACTTGTCGTACGATGAGCTCAACATCAACTTGGATAACTTTCCGCCGGAATGTAATGTTGACGAAGTGATTAAACATGAAGTCAGTTTAGGCGGCTGCTTAGACTTCAACAACTTCAATCCGCCGATACAACCGCAACCGTCGGTGACCACTACGCAGACATTGGCGTCCGTCAGCCACGATCAATCGTCGTTTACCTCCGGACACCACTGGGTCCATTGAATATGTAATAGGTGTGTGTCATTGAAAACATATTGTCAACTTTCGTGTCGATCGTGTCGTGTGATTAATAATTTTTTTAAATTCTGCAGCCGTCAGCTTATCCGCACGCTTTCACATTAATATATATATATATATATATATTATCGGATGTAATAATACATGTATTCATAAAAAATAAGTTTGGTTTATATTTTTTCCATTACGTATCTTTTTCTCCGAGCATGGCAAAAAAACTTCGTCGTAGCTACAAATTACCAGATGTTTTTACTCGGAATTCGGACTTTTTCCATCTCCTATGCTCGGGTTTTCCTCGTAGTCTAAGTCCCTCGGAACTTAAGTAGACACCGCCGCAGGACGCTAGGAAATGAAGGGCGCGCGTGGTGAATTATTATTATACACCTGTTTTGGCTGTCGATCAATGCACGCACCGTAGTACTCTAATAAATTGTTGTCCGCCAGTACGAAAAAAAAATGTATTTCGAGCTTGTTTCGCCATTTGTGCACTTACGCGTGTTGTATATATATAAATATTAGTGCACAAGACGTAAAAAGAAAACGACTAGGGAAGGGATCGCGTGAGGATGAGAAAGCGGTGGGTGAGAAAAATTCTAATAAATTTTAGCTCGACACGATGATGTGTACTCTGGTGGACATTGTGCGTCTTCTTCTCATTATCTCTTCCTCCTCGTTCGTGTCTCATCATCCTTCTTTTCGTATTACAGTAATATTGTATCGACTTTCGGTGTGCTGACACGTGTGCACTGCCAGTATTATTATGTTATAGTATCAAGATTGCGTGCCGTGCGCCGGCCAACGACGCGTGCAACCGGAGCGCTGACAAATATTGCCGGCTAATGTTTTTGTAATTCGAGAATACCACCCCCGTAACGTGTGTACCCACCGCTGAGTACCGTTCCACCCGTGTCCCTGTAGCCCCCGCTCGAGAAAAGAAAACCCCGACCGTTCTGCGCGAACACAACACTGGATTCGTATGAATGTCAATTATTTTACTTTACAAGTTACGGCTCCTGGTGGTCGACGTGCACGGTCACGGATCGACTTCGCTCGAATTTCCTCGGTCCCTGCGTGTTCTATTGTTTTGTCATGTATTTATTACGTGAGATAACTAATCATTGTTGTTGTATATACATACCAATGTTTTAAAGAATCGCAACTGTCGAGTCATCTATATATACCCGATAGAAATTATGAAAAGTTTTCGTTTCTACCGATCGGCGTGTTCGCCCCAATCCACCTTTCCTTCTGCCACCCTTTCCGGAACCGCCGTGACGAGCGACCATGGCATTTATCGCCCTCTCTCCTTCGACCTGACTCGTATTCGTTACTATCTCAACGTGGCGCCTTTATTAAATGAGGTCGTGAATTTCAATACTATATACTTCTTTCTCCTTTCACTCTTCCCCTTCTTTCTCTCTCTCTCTCTCTCTCTCTCTCTCTCTCTCTCGTTCACTCTCTTGCTTTATTCTTTCTTTCTTTGTTTTCCATTATCTCGTCGGCCCGTTCCTTCCAGAAGGTGTTGCTTGGTACATTTCTGTTATTAAAATGCTTCCATTTTCGTGTCCGGGTTTTTACGGTCGGGGAACGCCTTCTCGGCCCTGCTACGATCGCCCTCGGCTTCGTTAGCGGTGCCGAGCAAGTCTCATCCGATCGTATCAGCGTCGATGACGACGCCACCGCCCCGCATATTTTGTTCGTCATCGTATTTTCTTTTTTTTCTTTCGCTTGACGTGTGCCGATTTCACGGCAGTAAACACGCACTCACACACACACGTATTTATCGTGTGTGTGCGCGCGCGCGCGCGTACATATATTTATGTTTAAGTATAACATGCGGTATACCTACGTCAATGAGAGAATAATAATAATAATAATAATAATAATAATAATAATATAGCAATAACATCGATTAAGGAACATGCAATTAGGGCGTGAATATTTTAGTCGTTTTAATTGGCGTTAATTTTTAAAGAATTTAGCGTTATTAATCGACAGTTCATAGGTCGAGGAGTTGATCGCAGCCGACGTGCACGCCCGCTTCAGCCGCGCACCACTCCGCGTAATAACGGTCCTCCTCTTGTCGATGACGTGCCCGTACTTCATATCCATGTGATGTGATACACCGCAAACGTTGTACACGATAATAATATGAGACGTAACTAATATTCCTTCGGGTGCAGGAGAGGCGTTCCGATGTTTTCCCCCGTTTCGTTTCCGATTGATTTTGTTTCGTTTTCACGTTGCGCTCTGCCTATTCCAGTGTAGAGCGTAATGATGTGACTGCGGTTTAACATTAAAACGTTTCGATAAAATGCCTACGATAAAGGATTTCTTACATTCCCGTACGTTCGGTGGTGCGCATTACCAACCGGTCGACCGTTTAAACGGAACGGTGCGAAACGCTCGAAACGATGGATCTTGCGGCCGAACGTTTTGTTCGTCGGCGACGTCTTTCGTTTCTTGACGACATCGTCAACTCTAAGACGATGAAAATTCTGGTAGAAACATGATGATTATTGTGTATATTTTGTCATATTATTATTATTATTATTATTATTGTTATTAGGGTTCTGTATGGTTACAGCTTACAGCTAACCTAATACGCGACAAAACGAATCGTTAGGTTACCGTTGAATTACCGGTGCACGCGCACGTTTATCGACACGAACATACGACTTTTTTAATCGATGTGTTGCAATCAAATTTTGTTGTTTATTTTTATTTTTATTATTTATTTGTATGTATCTTTTTGTTTTGTTTTAGTTGAAACGATTATGTGTTCAGAAGGAAGCTTATTAGTCCACGAAAATGTTTTTGTTATGTTGCCCAGTTAATTCATGTTAGTTTTTATTATTATAATTTTAACAAAACTTAAGATTTACAAATGTCTAAATAATTTTAAATTAATATTACTAAATATAACTTATGTACATGTATAAAAAAATATTGTGTTCGTTTAAAAGTAACAGCTGTTTTTATATATTCTATACATACTTTTGTTGTGGTAGATTTACTATTATGCATGTGTATGTGTATATTATTTAAATATATTGTTTTATATATTTATTTGTATGTATGTATGTATAAATACAATTTTAAAATATATAAGTTTGTTAATAGTCTAATATTTATTATAGGTATAAAGTTTGTGTGATTGCTGAACATATTGTTATTTAGATATTATAATGTTGAAATTATGCATAATATATATATTAGACACATTTACATTTACAATTTGAGTGTGTTGGCGAGGCTTAAGCGAAATGCCAAGTTTTGTTAGCTGTAATCAAAAATTGTAATTTAACTTTTTTATCATTAGGTTTTGTAAATATGTTTGCTCATCAAAAAATGAAATTAAATAAACAAAAAAAAAATATATATATATTTATAATATTAAGAAAATGTTTAATATTTTGTAGCCCACATATACGTAAAAAAATATATTGTCCAAACAATTTGTTGAAATAACAAAAATTTTAAAGATACTCTGTTCATATTCAAGGATAATCACCATTTACTTACTCAGTGATATGTTTCATCTGCATTTTGTTCTAATATTGTTATGTTTATATAATTATATATATATAAAAAAAAAAAAACTCATAATATAAATATCTCATAAATACACATTATCAAAGTGCTGAGTAATAAAGACTGATTGTCTTTGAAATTTTGGATGATAATTTTATTTTATTATTTTTATTATGATAATTATTTTTATTTTTATTATTATTATTAATATTATTATTATTTTGTTATTAATTATATATAAAGAGAAATCAGTAGAAAGTATTTGCCAAACACTTTTGTTTATTTTCAGTGTAAATTTAGCCAAATTAAATGAGATTATTAAAAGAAAAAAATTATTTTACTTTTTGTGCCATAATTATTTCTATTAAAATATTTTCATATGACAGTTTATTTACTATTTTTCATTGCTGTGAAACAAAAATGTTTAATGTTGAATATATATTTATATATTTATATAATTTTTTTTTCATTTATCATAATGTATAATGTATAAATGAACATGCCAGTGCCTTTGATCTCAAAAAATATACCTCCAATGTTAACTTTATTTACATAACACAATCACACATACATACATGATATGTACATATATTTTTGTCCGTATGTGTGTTTATGTTTCTAATTGATAATATAAAAGTTTAAAGGTAAATGGATAAAAAATAAATCTATTTTCTTTGTAAATATGACAAAAGAGTGTAGACATTTTTTTTTTTTTTAATGCACAAATTTGTTATCCATACAAGCTCAATGTGTAAAAAGAAATTTTAGTGTGCTTTTATAAATGTGATAAGCTTATTTTCGGGAAATTATGTTGTACAAGGTAAAAAGTTGATGATGTTTTTTCTATAGATGCTAATAAAGTGATACATAGTATAATTTTGTTTTAGTGGTTCTAACTTTAAATAAATTATTATTATTATTATTATTATTATTATTGTAATTAGATATTGAATATTACTGTAATTATTATGATTATAACTACATTATTATCTACTAAAAACAACAAACGTAAATGCAAAAATGTATTTTAAACCTAAATTAACTGTTGTTGCTTCTTTCAAATATGTCAATTTAATACGGATTATTAATTATTTTTATGGGTTTGCAAGTATTCTTTGAGTATTTTGACAAAATTGTTTTATATTTCATTTCATAATGTGATACTAAACTTTTCATATATTAGTGTACGTTTTGATGAATAAAGCAAACTGCCTTTGTGATCTGTTTATGTTCTTCTCTCTTCTCAACCTTTGCCTTTTCTCACAGCTGTATAGGATCCTCTACCTCAACTTGGACCACCCTCTCACTGCCAGTCAACAACTATCATCATGCCATTTCCAATCCCATTTAACCATCGCAACCTCGGTCTTTCTCTCCTTTTTTCTTCACTATTATTTGACATTAAACTCATCACTGCTATTCCCCATAACATGCCATTTAATAACGTTATATTTCAATTATTTTTTTTAGGTTATAGAAATACTTATAAATGTTATAATTTTTTAATATTATATTTATTAATTGTTTCTTTATTTTATTATTTTTTATTTTTTCTTTCTTTGTCTTGTAGTTCTTTTAATACATTCATCTAACAAATTTTATTAGATTTCACTCGCCTCCTATTTTATTCTCTTGTCCACTACTTAACATTTTTACCTATGAATATCATCATCAGCCTCCCAACTTCCTCATGAAATCTATACTTATATTTTGTTGAAATATTTTTACATAATACTCATCCATTTCATCCATATTCAATGTACTTCTACTCAATTACTCTTTTGACTTTTTGTACATTGATTAATTATCATTTGTTTTAATTCTGTATTTTTAATTATTGTTATCCCTGAAATAATTGCACAGAAATAACAGACATCAGGTTACATTACATTTATATATATATATATATATATATATATGTATATGATTATATTTAGTGTAATATACTTATACCCCTAAATAAAATACAGATTAAAATAGATTGTGCTATCTATTGGTCGCTCAAGCAAATGCAACATATTGTAATAATTAGTTTAATTATTTAATGAAAGTAACGTATACATAGTGGTAGATATGTGTATGTGTATATACACATTAGTGTTTAGCTATCTAAAATATTAGTAATTTAACCTTTAATCATCGATATAAGCCAAATATTGGACTTAACTCATATCTACATTAAGGAAAAATTATTCTTTATTATTTTAAATACTCATAATTTTGAAGCCTCTTAAAATTTTTTATCTCAACCATTAAAATGAATCCTATAGAGACAATGAGTTAATAATATTATGAAATTTAATTATTTGAGACTGAATTTAATTAATAATTATGATGGCTTTGCTCGACCGAAATATGAGTTTTAAGTCTGATAGAAGTATATTATTTTCATTACGTGTATAGACATGACAATAAATTTAAAACTAATGATAATTGTTCTAACGAGATATTTTTCATCCTTGAATTGTTTTCAAATAAGTACACACTTTGTTATAAAACCATATAGTATTTGAAATGATATTTAACTTGATGAACATTTTAAACGTTTAAAGGACAATCTTTTGCAGATTTTTTTTTTTTTTTTATTCTTATGAAATGTTTTAGAAATAATTTTAATATATAAGCATTGTGCAATTATTATCAATTTGTTGTAACAATACAATATATATTTGAAGTCACATACTCGCATCAACGAATTATATTATGCCTATTCTTCATAAAATACATTTTAAATATTATTCTTTTAACATCTGATTTTTCTGCCTTGTGTTAATTTTTCACAGTAGTGGTTTTACATGAATCAACATGATGTTTTAAGAGGGAGGCGAAAATAAAGTCAACTCTCCTCCACCTCATAGTATTTTTATAGATTTATTTTATATACATATAGACATGTGCGTAAGTTTGGGGGGGCTAGAGAGGGCAACTGCCCTCCTCTAATAATTCAACGGGGTATTTTACAAATCAATTAGAAAAATATTATAGAAAAGACATTTCAAATTCGTAAGAATTATTTTATTAATAAATAAATATATAGGTACAATTACTATTAAATTTAACTGTTGACCATGAAAAAAATGAATGGATTAATTAAAATGTATTTGTTCAATGGCATTTTCTATCACAATATATGATGATGATGCAAATGACATAAATCTAATATTCGGTATATCAACATAAAATAAAGTTTGCCTGTCCACAAAAATTGTCCAAGTTAAGCACATGCATACGGATTGTAGGTATAAATGTATAATAATGTTTATATATTAATAATATTAAAATTCCAACATAAATGTATTAAAAAATAAGATATAAAATTTATCTTATAATTATCATTATAATTATAATAATGTGGGTCATGCGTGATCAAGACATAAAGTATAATAGTAGACAAAATGATAACATATTATCCGTAGCTAAAACGAAAAAATATTTTGTTATCAAATTATGAGTTCGAAAATTTGCAGTTGGGCCAGCGATATACTAAATGTAAATAAACTAAATCACAAGGGAAGCGATTCATTTATCACCCTCTCCTATAAATTTGTTTTCTTATATATTCCTACATATTAATATTGCATAAATACAGTCAGTATGTGATATAATCATCTACTCCGTGTCGTCTGACGTGTTTTGCTCATTTGTCAAAATACGCATGTGCATGTTGTGTGTTACAAATCGGTCTGCTACGTACTGCACAATGAGTACAACAGTAACTCGTATCATAAAATAAAACGCATACTACAAAATTGTGTATTGTCCTAGATTTCCAAATTATTTATTAACCTTAAGTTTGTGGGTTTTTTTTTTCGAACCAATAGTATCACATAGGCCGACTACTACTTTTTGGACTTCGATCATCACAGTTCATTCATTCGCATTGGTTCATAATCATTGATTTGGTCGTGAATTTCGAATAAATTTAATGATAATGCTATAGAACTATACCGATTGTTCATTTACATTCTTTTGTGTATCATTTGTATACTTATTCTTATACCAAGACTCTTATACCCAAGGTCGTATTTAGAAATAATTTTTGGGGAGTGGGGAGTCTAAAATATGTTTATTGTAATTCAACTGAATTTAGGTTTTAAAATTTAGTTGAAAATAAGATTTTTTTAATGAAATATATTATTAAATAAAAAAACAACATACACAAATTCAATATATATTAAACTAATAAAATACTTCTATCTTTTTGAAGAACAAACTAGTTTAATACTTCTTCGGGATTAACCGTAACATCTCTATGGACACATAATAGAACTAGGCCAGTTAGTCTTTCTTGTCCTTTAGGGTTTCGTAAAAATGTCTAGACGCGTTTTTTTGTCGAAAAAGTTCGTTCGG